ATGTGTAGCATTTCCTCTGATCCAGCAATTCTAATTCAGGCAATCCATTTTATGGGAATGCTCAAACAAATTTGCAAAAACAGCTGTATAGTACAAGGATGTCCAAAGCAGCTATGCTTTAAATAGTGAAAACACAGAAACATAAATACCCATCAATGGGCGACAGATAAATAAATTATGGTACAGCCTCATAGTAAACTACTAATGTAGTAGTTAAAAAGAATGACAACGCTCTCATTGTTATTAGTACCATGCCCATATTTTTAAAAAGCATTAAACATGATCCCATTATTGTTAAAAAATGCTATCAGTGTAGCTATGTGTGTAAGTGTGTGTATGTATGTTTTATACACACAGGAAAAAATCTGGAAGGATAACCATACATTGTTTAAAGATGTTGTCTCTAATGCATGAGATTAGAGAGGAAGGAAAAGATAAATTTTATTTTTTATTTTACAGTTTTCTGTTGTATTTGTTACAATGAGCACATACTATTGCACTCTTTGAAAGGAAAATTTAAATGTTTATTAAACAGCTAATCCTGGTCACTTGGGTTCAACAGAGAAACTTCGGTTATAAAACTTACCTTTTCCAGAGACTCCTTCTCAGCTCGAAGGTCAGTCAGCTCTTCCTCCAGGGCCGTCACCTTGAGTTCCAGTTGCCTCCGGCTTTGCTTTTCACTTTTGAATTTGGACTGTGCTTGCTCAGAGGCCTCTTGGAGCTCTGGGATGTAACAGCAGAAGAGACTTGGCTGCAGAACCAGAGCTGTGGTGCGCTATTTGGCATCCCAGAAGCTTCTTCACAGCTGCATTCTGTGATCTCCCAACCCTACCCCTCAAGCATCTTCCCCTCACTTCTTTCAGCCTCGCCAGTATTGGTTCAAGCCATAAACTGACTCCCTCCACCAACCCATATTTATCTCTGTATGTATCACTTTCCACATATACAAAATGGAAAAATTCCAAGCAGTCAGAGACCACCTTCAAAATACATCACTCCCACAATTCCATTTCAGTCACCATCTCAACACATTGGACAGATCTTTGTTGGTGTTGGTCCAGCCTTTTCTCGCTGCCTGGGTAAGATGTTCTTAAGTTTCTTGGTAGCTGGGACACTCTACCAAGAGCTTGCTTTCAAAACATCCCTTCTCAAATAAAGCTATTTGATGTATTTCTTTAAAATATAATGCATCAAAATTTATTCTGTTTGGAAAACTTTTGAGACCCTATGGCACTCTTGAGGTAATTGTCATAGGGTACCATAAAAGCAGAAAAGAGGATATTTCTATGACATTCAAATCTAAGACAGTCTCTCATGTGTGCACAGATTATGCTTTAACAGAAATGGGCTTTATCGTCAAGATATCACTTTACTAACTGACATCAGTGTTTGTTAGCTTTCCATCAGGCAAGTAAACTTTGTTTCTTCCCTCCTCCGTTGTCGCTCCAGCAGCTACGCCCCTCCCACTGGTCCCTTCTGTGCCTTCCGCATTTGCTTCTACGCACTGAAGTGGATGAATCAACATGCTGGTCTCCCCAAATCTTCTGTTCAAGTCACCATGTCTTGAGTACCACCTTTGTGCCAGGCACTCAGTTAACACTAATTTGGAGGAAAGGACTTTACAAAGATGAGCAAGACACTATCCTTGCCCTCCAGGGGCTTGCATTCTAGAGGGGGAAACAGACGTATAAATAGTACATGTGATAATGGTAAAAAATAATGTACTCAAAGATAAGGGATTTTAAAGGAGATCAAATGTTCTAGAAAAAAAACAGGAAAGCTTCTGGAAGAGGCAGATTTTGGAAAGAACTGGAGGCAAATAATATCGGTGATAGCGGGCATACCAAGCCCAGAGAACAACATGGATAAAAAGCAAGACAAGAACTACAAGACATGCTGAAGTGTAGCAGCAGACTGGCTGTCATGTCCAAAATCAGGATGAGCAACATGGGAAATAAGCCAGGCTGGAGGGGCCTTGAGTGCTGGCTGGAGCTGGAATCCATCCTCTATGAAAGAGGCAACCAGTACAGGAAGCACCTCTTTCATACATGTCCTCTGTATCACTAGGTAGAGGAACACATTAACTCTTCCAGGCCTATGAGGCCAATCGAAAGTACCAAAGATACTGAAGGCAACACTTGCCCATACAAAGTGGAACGGTGGCCACTGCTCAGCTAAATGAATAGTCAGTTCTTTTTTTGTCCTTTATGTCAAACAATCACATAGATTTATACTGGTCCACCTTAATTTTTGTCCCAGTCCTTCACAAACTTCATGAGCACTATGCCAAATGTACTGGGAGGAAGGAAATAGTTTAACTCCTGAAGTTTGAATGGTCAAAGTCCCAGCCCTCTCCACCAAGGACAAACCTGAGAGCTCTGCCTGCAGTTTGGTGAGTTGGCCTCTGAGGAGGTCGGTCTCCTTTAAGCTTTCTGTCAGCTGCATCTGCAGCTCTGTTTCTTTCTTTTGGTGAGCAGTCATCTTCAGCTGTAGATGAGAGATCTGTGCAGTGGCTGATGCTAACTCTTCCGTCACCTTGGCCTGAATGGTAACAAAGTATGACATCACTTTAAACATGGGTGTACTCTGTCTCTAAGTGATGAGCCAATCTCACATACTCTATGCTGAATGAACTGGTAGGAAGGGCGCTAAACCCACCTTTACTTACATTAAACCAAAATCAAGTCTTCAAAATGTGCAAAGTCTGTGACTCAGAAATTCCCTTGCAGAAATTTGTCCTTAGGAAATATTATGCAAGATTACAAAAATTTTGCTACAAGGATGTTTAATGCAGCATTGTTTATAGTTGTAAAAGAATGAAAAAATAAATGCTAATAAATGGGCTTGATTAAGCAAATTATACCACCTATCCTGTATGCAACTATTAAGAATGGTGTCATGAAAGGGTACTTAGTGGCATGGGATATAGTCACAACCTGTAATTAAATGTTACCAATCTGATACATGAGAAGTGGTATTCCTACCATTTTCTAACTTTTCTAAGATAAATATGTATTTTTTTAAGTAAAAAAGGATATTTTAAAATTTAAACTGAATGTGTTCAATGGCAATCAACTTCTGAATCTGAATTTTCCCTAGTAGTACTGTACTAGTAGTAATACTACAATATAATGTAAAGATCGGTCCCATGAGAGTTACTGCTTCCAGGGTTCTTGGAAGAAAAGAGCTAATAAAGAAGGGAACACTTCAACCTTTTTGACTTTTCAATGTATTTTAAATGGCACTAAACAAGAGCAAAATATTCTCAAGTAATAGCTGATGAAACCAAAATGACTACCCTGGAAAACCCTCTAATGATGTTCTGTGTATTAGGGGTGATGATGAAAATGATTAAAAGCATATCAATAAAAAAGAATGGTAAACAAATGACAAATATCACATTAATTTCACCTGAACTGATGTGCTCCTATAAAAATTAGAAGAAATCAGATGATAGGAAAGGCAGTGAGTGGTTGCTCTGCTGGTGCCTAGCCTTCATTTTTGGACAGCAACATATGTATGGGGTTGGACTGTCTCTCCTGACTATTATACTGCCAATACCATTACTCTTCTTATACTATTATACTTTACATGCATTTTTACAGTTGTCTGCTTTCTTATTGTCACTCGTCCTCCTTACGGTATTCACTGTGCCCACTGAAATTTTAAACTTATTTATTTATTTAAGCAATGCTCAGAGAGCTTTGCACCTACCTGTGGCTTGAGAGTTCACTAACATTAGAGTGAGGACCACTTGCACAAACCCTGCAGCAGCTAAGACCACCGGAGGAGGCCACTTAACTATAACTTTCTGAGCTCTCTGAAGGTGCTGTCTCCAGGGATAAAAGGACCTTGATTACCTCCCTTTAAGAGGAGAGATATCACAGGGAAGACTGTTAAGTAAGAAAGAAGTGGATCAAAAGAAAAACGGCAGAGTGAAGCCTTGGAAAGTTCCACGGAAACAAAGGTGACCAAGTGAAGCATATGGTATTTGGTACCTGACTCATTAAGAACAGTTGATGGATGGCCCAGGGGATGCCCTCAAACAGATTTGTGTAAAGTATGGTGCCTAGAACCGTGTGGGTATTTGACAGATATTAGCTGCTATTACTGTTTTTACTATTATAAATAGAGTATCTACCAGGATCAATGCACTGTGCCAGGCATTTTTGGAGTTTATCAATATGAAACATTTGAGTGGATGAACAAGCTAATTCAGGTGTTGGCAAACTATGACCTCTAGGCCAAACTGACCTGCTATCTGTTTTTGTAAATAAAGTCTGGGAATCACTGATCTAGAACAAGTTATAACAATCATTTTAGACCTGACTTATGAGACCAAACAATTTATCTTGGTGCCCCTGTGATTCCTAAGGACTTAAAAAAAAAAACAAAAAACAAAGAGTAAAGGAAGGAGAGAAAATAAAAGTAGAGGAAAGAGAAATAGTAAAAAGTGACTTGAGTACTGTTTAATGATATCAATGTCACACACTACTGAACTTGATCCATCCAGGCATTAGGAGTTGGCCACAACAAACAAGGGATGGTGAAAGGTAACAACGGGAAAGAATCAAGGTCAGGACTGGACAGGGCTGTGCAGGGCAAGGCATTGCTTATTTGAGGATAAAGGATCAAAGATATTATTGGGTTGTCGGAAAAGTCATGACGCATTTTTGCAATGAAAAACAGAGAAAAAATACGTCATGACTTTTCCGAAAACCCAGCACTTGAGTGGATACTATGGCTAAGAGAACACAAAGAAATAATAGCATAAGACGTAAGTAAGGAGTCCTCAACATTATCAGAATGTGAGAAAGTGAGTAAACTCCACAAGTTATAAAGTGCAGTCCATTCAATTGTTCATGTTTTTAAGAAAAATTCAAATATAAAATATAAACTACTTTTTAAACCTCTGAGCAAATAGCAGAAGAAAGGGTTGAGATCTCCCAGCTGAGGGGTGGTAGCCCAATCAGGAAGGAATCCATTCTGGATAAACACAGTGTCACTGGAGCAAGGACGGGAGGATGGGCTTCATAATCAGTCGATCCCAACCCAAGACCCACTAGAGTCTTCCTTGTAGCTACTCTGGGAACAAGCTGAAATTCCTAATTCTGAACTAATTAAAGTCAAACAGCAGTGCTTTACAATATTCTGGAGCAAATTAAACACAGAAGAGGAAGCAAGCTAAACAATCTTCAATTTCACTAAAAACATTTGTTGCATGACAAAATAGGAATTTTCTACTGATTTTGTCAACAGAGTAAATTTAGTTTCTAATAAGATGTGTATTTCTTACCTTAAATTACTAAGATCAGTGATTATTTTTGAGTCAACTTATTGCAAGGCATATTATAAAACAGAAATTTGGATGATAAATATATTGAAATCTGTTGGAGGATTTCTAGTTCTCTTCCCAGTGATGACAAAAGTTCTGCTGAGACTGGTGAGTACGTACACAGGACCACTCCTTAGCTCTACACATCCTGACTTGGGCTTTTCTTTCCCCAGTTACTTTACCTTCTCTTGTTCAGCATGCAATACTCTTGCCTGTGTGTTTTCTGTGGCTGTTTGAAGTGAGTTGTTCCTCTTCTCCATCATCAGGTTACTTTGCTCAACATACCTATGAGATAAATAGGGAAAAAGACAACATTTATCAAGCACCAAATGTATACCAGTGCAACCCAATGCACACTCAGTCCTCACAACATCGCTCTCTGCCTCCATGAAAAACAATCTGAAAGCATTTTGTTTTCCTTAGATCTGCAGTCATCAAATTTGGAGGCAGAAACCTGGACCTGAGGTGACTGCTTTGAATTTGCATGATGAAAAGGAGATGACTTCTACGGGGCAGGCTGTGTGGTGAGGGGGAAAGAGACTGGAGTAAGAAGGCTGCAAGGAGGGAAGGAAAAAAAGCCACTTTCTTCCCCTCTTCCACGTGAGAGACAAGAGACACTGGAGAAGAGAAATATGCGAGAATGATTTTTTTTTTTTTGAGAATGATTTTTTTAACTGAAATGCTATTACGCTGTGACATGTACCCCTGAACATGGCCCCCAAATCTTCAGAGGGTCTAGAAAAATTACAAAATGCTTGAGTTCAATATGGAAATCAATGAAGTTCTGGTTGATTAAATGGCTTACACACAAGACAGAAGAGTTGATACCCATTTTCTAAGTATTAACACCAGTTTCACAGATGAGGAAACCAGGGCCAGCAGGAATAAATAAAATGCCCAAAGCCAGGTAACAACCGAGGAGTGAGGCCAGGATTCAAACACAGGTCTGCCTTACATCACAGCCTACTGAGCTCTTTCTACTAAGATGCCTCTCAGAAAATAAGCAATAATTCACATGACAGGCAGGAAACAGCAATAGCAGAAATACAGATACACTGCCCTAAACAAACATACTTATGTAACTTGGGCATTTACAAATTAAACCCTTTTGTCCAACCGATCCAGTGCCCCGTACCTGTCATTACCTCTGATTTCGTTCAATTAGTTCACTAATCTTGTCATTCTGATCTTCTATCCGACTGCTCTTTTCAAGGATCTCTTGCTTCAATCTTTCATTTTCCTAAATTCAAAATCTATGATATATAACTTATGTTTTCAAGAGAAAAGTGCTAGATAAAAGGGAATCAACTTGAACTGTCACATATACATTGTTGTATATTTTGAGACAAAAAAACTTATGTCCATATACATATAACACTTAAAACAACATATCAAATTATACCTTATGAATACAAATCACTATGCCCAATAGATTAAACACATAAATGGCTACAAAATGAAGTGAAATTCTGAAATGCGGTCAAAAAGAAATGTTTCCTCCTGCTATGTGGTGATAAGTCACTTGGACCAAATATAGCCATAATGGATTTTCCAGATTTTCTCAACTCAGTATAGCATTTATCACATACACTCGATTTCCGGAGTGCAAGTTTTAAAGGATACTACATCTAGGGAGAGAGACTGGAGTAAGACGGCCAGGCTGAGCCTTCTGTTCCCAGCCACTCTCACCTGAATAATTCGCTGGATGTTGCTCATAATCATGCCCGTTTCCATTGTAACCGACATGCTCGGAATGAGCCCAGAATTGCCGGCACTATGCTTCTGTAACTCTTCAACCTGCAAAAGGGGTAACGGGAAGATGGTGAGAAACTTTTAAACGGAAAAATACAATGTACCCAAGATAGGACCACTTTTTTGAGGGGGTTAATGAGTTTCTAAGACAATCTCTAATGTAAGCTAGAGTTTTCTTCTGCTAACCGGATCCCAAAATAACACCTATCCTTCTAGGGCAGGGGTCAGCAAACTGCGGCTCACGAGCCACATGCAGCTCTTTGGGTACATACATGTGGCTCTGAAGTAAAATTGAAAATGAAAATAAAACTATCATAATTTCATTTATAAAATTTTTAAAGGATATTATTCACATAATGGTGATTTCATTTGTTTAATGGCTCTCGAATAATTTTTAAATTGTTGTGAGGGACGGGATTGGCTCTTCCGTCTCAGAAGTTCGCCGACCTCTGTTCTAGGGAAATAACTACTAACTATTATAAATACAGGAAACCAAGCGAGGGTTTACCTGTAGTATAGCCCTGGTTGTACCCCACTTTCAACACAGCCCGCACCCTGACTTAGTCACCTTAGTCATGAGATGATCCATTTTATCAGCCACTTTGCCGACAGCCATTCTCATTTCAGTGTTATGTTGTCGGGCTTCAGTCATGAGAAATGAAGCCATGTCACCTGCTCCTAAACAGAAATAATCCAAAAGAAACATGAAACTGGAGCAGAGGATACTGTATGAGGAAAACCAACAGCTCTTTCAGCAGAGGAAAGAAAGAAATTAACATTTCCAAGTACAATACTAGGAAATGCTGTACATGATTTGCACTGTTAGGAGAAGGCATAGAGCAGACAGAGGCAAAGGGCTTCAGAGCTAACAATAACCAAGCTACGCTCCTGCAAACTGCATCACAGGATACAGTCTGGTCCAAGGGCACAAGTATGCCCACTTGGGTCTGCCACAGCACTAGCAGCTCAGATTGCTTCTCCATTAGTCTAACTGCATGCCAGGCATTGTACCAGGTACTAATGATACAGCAATGAATAAAACATGGTTCCTGCCCTTGGTGAGCTTAGTCTGGTGGGGGAGATTCACATGTAAACAGATTATTACAACAGAGTGTTTTAAATGCAAAAAAAATGGATGATGTACAAGGTACAAAAGGAACAGAGAGAAAAACAAGATTAACTCTTTGTTGACTCATATACACAATTATGTCTCTGGGAGGCAAGGGGGAAGGGATGGTAACAATCAGAGAAGCCTATACAGAGAAGACTGCAGGCTTGATGGTTTCCTAGATGGAGAAGGGGCAGGGCCTCCAGACAAAGGTTCCATCCAGGAAACCCTTACCACCCCAGGACCATAAATTATGTTGGAGGATATACTTGCTTCTTCCTTCCACTGTCCTAATACCAAAGGTGATTGCTACGCAAAAGTCAAGCTGCAGAGCAAGGAGGTAAGACACCATCCCAGCTGTTCACATTTTATTTTGTTTTGTTTTTTATACAAGACAGCCACTTGTACATGCATAAAAGAGATCTGAAAAAGTTACCCAAGTAACTGTTAATAACAAGTTTCCTATAGTCGGGAGGTTTTAATGATGGAGGACAGTACTTTTCACTTTATACACTTTCGTGTTGACTTTTTAATAAAAGCATATTATTTTCATAATTTAAAATTTTTAACTAAGAAGCTTTAATTTGAGATATTAAACATCCACAAACAGTCATCATGCTGTCTCCCAATTTCCTCCAATGTTTTAGTATTTTCTATAAACTCTACAGAACCACTCTGACAGAGAAATTAAAAAGGGCTGGCAGGAAAAAAATGCAAGAGACAAAATCCACAAAGTGAGGTGAGGGTTTTTTGAGGGATGATGGACATATTCTAAAATTGGATTGTTGTGATGGTTGCACAACTCTGTAAACTTATTTTAAAAACACTGAATTATACACTTAAAATGATGAATTGTATGGTGTGTAAATGTTACCTCAACAAAGCTGTTTAACGAAAAAAAATTTTAAAAAGTGCAGAGATCTTACTGGAGTAAACATGAAAAAGGGATGGGAGGAAGATAAGCACAGCAAGAGCAAAAGAAGAGAAACTGAGGGGATTATACCCTACCTTGAAAATGGGGAGAGTGAGAGAGTGGTGCTGGATACAGGGGCCGAACAGGCTGCAGCTGGGAGGTGACGGTTGATGCCTGGGGATAAGCGTAGGCTGGCATACCTGCATAGGGCTGAGAAAATGCCAAGTTAAAGCCAATTTATAAAACATTCATGTCTCTCTTTTTTAATTTGTCTTTGATGAAATAAAGTGGATAAGCTGAGAGGAGGCTCAAACTTACTGAAGCTGGAGATGGATGAGATCAGGGTTTGGTATTGGGTAAGAATTGCAGCAGGAGTGTTAGCTATGTAACCCGGTGGTACCCAGTTACGTAAGTCCTACCCAGAAAGTGAGGGAAGGGTGTCTCGGATTATTCCCCAGTCCTCTGGTGATAGGATTTATTTAAATAGGAATTCAGTCCTCATCCACTGGTCTTATTGATGGTCTAAGAAATTTTAAACCTAAGAAAACTGCTTTGTTTCCACTGAGGTAAAAGGAGCGGTGTTCACTGAGATGCCAAATTAAATCCAGCCATTTCCAAAGGATGCCTCTCCCCTGCTAGATTCAAATGCTTATCTGTGTAAAAACAAGAGCTCTCATTTTCCTCTGAGCCTCAGTCACCTCAACTATAAAATGAAAATAATGATACCACTTCTTAGAGTTGTTGTGTGGACTAAATGAAGTGATACATAGATAAAGTTCCTAAAAGCTCATAAGTTAAGTGCCTGGCAGATAGTAAATGCTCAATAAACAGCAGCTATCATTTTAATGATGATGGTTATTCTTCCTTGAATTAAGGAAATCCAGCTCATTTCCAGGGACGGATATAACTACCCAATCATTATATTAAAAAAAAAAATCTTAGTCTATAGGATAGCAATTCTCCATCAGGGAGTGCAGAGAGGGCAAGTGGGACATTTTAAAATTCTGATACGCACCGTCCCTTTGCCCACCAACACTCCCACTCCTCCACTGAGAATCACCAAGGAAGTGAGGGCCCATTATCACTGGGAGTATGTCTTATCCATCCAATGTATTGGGGCAGAAGAAAGAGTCCCCTATCCTGGCAAACAGTCAGCAAAGGCAGAGAGGCTGCTGCCCCCGCCCTCTATAAAACCTGAAAAAACCCACTTTAAAGGACTGCTTTTAGAGGATAACTAGATAGCTCCGTACAAAAACAGCTGTATTTTCTATGCGGCCTCCACTCTCAACCTATAACCCCTGTGCTGAGTATAGTGCAGAATCTTAGCCTATCAGCTATTTGATAAACAAAAACTCAGAAAACATAAATACATACCCCTCAGTTAGACAGGTGTGAAAAAAAAGGAAACACATATGGACTGGGCCTTGACTAGGTGCCAGGCCTTGTACCAGGTGCTTTGCTTGTTCTTGCATTTTAATCTTTACAACAACCCAGTAATCCTTTGACTGGTTTAGAGATGAAAAAGTGGTGGTTCAGGAAGGAGAAAAATTATGATCTCTGATTGTTGGAGCTGCTGTTGTAAGAATTGTGCAGAAGAAAAGAGGCTGACTAGAACCATAATAAATTATAGCTTATAATTGATATGGTTTAAAAATGTTGTTACCTGAAAGGACTGGGCATTTCCAGATACAGCTGAGTGGGAATCGAGAGATGCAACTTGCATTGAGGCAGCAGAGGGTGCTTGGAGCCCAGAAACAGGCAGCTGAGGTGCTAAGATAAAGCAAGAAGTTTTCACCATTACCTATATTTGCTTCTGGGTACAAGTCTGGACTAGCACCGTACATACTCTCAGGCTTTAGGCTTGACCACTCTCCTCACCTAATCTCCTAAATCAATTCTACTGACATGTCAGCAATGGGCGTTGGAAGGGAAGTGGGTGTTCTTAGGTGCATATGACACAGACTGACAAGCCCATCAGCTGACAGGAAATACAGAATTACACGGAGGGAGATAATCACATTAGCTGAGTGTAGATTTCCAAAACTGACAATGCAACACATCAAGGACACAGCAAACAGACCAAACTCATCTACAGGTCTGAAAACTCCCTAGTCAGGGACAAACTGGTAAGTTTTACACTCTAGTCCAGTTCTCAGTGCTGAAACGGTGCAGCCTAACAATTTAAGGAGCAGTGATGATAACTCTGGTGCTGACTCAACTCAAGGCCACAGAGCCTCAGAAAGCTTCCTTACCTTGTGAGGTCATCTGTGGTAGCACTGGGTGGGCTGGCTGAAAAGAGGGCTGGATTGATGGAGTTGCCATGGGTTGCCCGGCTCCTCGCAGAGCATTCACTTCCTGAAACAGACACAGGCATTTTGGTTACTATGTATGGGTCCTTAATTGAAGACTAAGGCTGACCATCCACCCTAAACCTGCTTACAACACAGGATTTCTAGGCAAAGAAGAGGAAGGAAAGGCAAGCAGGAAGGCAAGAGTTTAGGGTGTGGGTTGTGGGGAAAAAGCATTCTGTTATGTAATAGAGTAAGATCCCTTCTCGCTCCCTGTAAATCATATCAAATAATTAAAACATAAAATTTCTTCAAACATTCTAAGTTG